TCATACAGGAGGTGCTCCAGCCCCTGATCATCCTTATGGCTTCCTCTGGACTTGCTCCAACAGCTCCATGTCCTTATTATGTTGAGGACACCAGAACTGCACACAGTGCTTCAAGTGGGATCTCATGTGAGCAGAGTAGAGGGGCAGGATCACCTCTCTCAGCCTGCTGGTCATGCTCCTTTTGATGCAGCCCAGGATACTTATGGCTCTATTAGAGCTCTCTCAGTTGATCTTCATAATAAATTTGTCCAAGTGGCAGCTCTGCCCTACTTACTTGAGAGTGAATATTTGCACATACCTGCATGCAAGCATCCTGACCCCGGATAGCCGCAAGGTGAGCTGCTGTCCAGCCTCCCACAGTCACACGTGTTGTATCAGCTCCATGCCAGAGCAACCACTGAAGGCACTGCTCAATTCAAACCAAAAGTTTCTACTTAACTATTCTTATCATGCATCTGAAACACATTTCAACTATAATTATCAGTTGATGTTACATTTCAAAACAGTATCACACTACTTAATTATAGAAACATAACACCCCAGAGTATGCTTTAGCCAGATACTTGTGCATTAGGAAGTTAGAGGCAAGTTACACTTGGCTTTCACCCAAGAGCACAAAATGTGCAAACAATCTACTAGTTGAGACCCTAGCATCAATTTTACTTCTTAATTTTATTCTTCCAGATTTAAAATATAATCTGTGAGAGTATTCCCATGGTAAAAGTGTTGGGAAATAAACAATGCTCACATGCATTCCAGCTAAAATTACTGGCAAGAAAAACACCATGAGCCAAATTTAAAGCCTCACTTAATTTATTAGGCTCATTCTGTGTACATAATCCCACTCTCTTCTCACCCTTCCACAGCCTAGTTTTGTTTTGTTCACTTTTTTCCAGCAGACACTATTGTTTGCAACTGAAAGCTATCCAAATGGACTATCCAAAACCAGCTAGAGGACCAATAAGCTTTTTATTACATATTATGATGATTTATTATCTTCTTTGAAGTCAGCCTACAGCTGATTCCTCCACTGTTTCCACCAAGGAGCTTAGCAACAAATAGGTGACAGATAATTCAATAAAATCTAATACACCGACTGCAAAGTAGGAGAATCAGATGAAAAATGACAGTTTACAGAGGCAGAAAAGGGTGGGTAAGCAATATATTTTGGGGGATGACAACATGATGATCAGCATTTTCTTGTCAGTTTCTGTAAATTCCAGAAACAGCCCTGCACTTATTCCTTGAGTTTAGCAAGAACTTTACATTCATTACTCTGGGACATGAATGTTTATATGGTTCTTCCTGTTGCATCAAGGTTAGATTCCTATAAAGAATATACAAGGAGGCTGCAACAAGAGGGTGAATGTTCTGCTCAATATAGCAGTTCAGTCCTTCTGAATGTTCAAATCACTCATTCAAGCACCTGCTGATTTCCCCATCAATATTCAAACATTCCATTTATGAAAGTAAAATGTATTAAAGAGTATTTCTATAGAGAATGAGGCACGTTGGTAGACAGAATGAACATGTTTTCATGTCAGTTCTCAGCTGTTTCAATCACCTTCCGAACATTTTACACACACTACAAGACGTCCTCAGTGTCCCAAGAGAAGGGGAAAACACAACAGGGGCAGAAGAAGGTCATGAGCCCGGAACTGAGGCCATTAGGCACATTTTGCTCACAGTAAGAAAATCACTGACTTTGTAAAATCTGGCAATGCTGACTACATAAACTGCCTGGGGCTTCAGAAAGGGTAAATGAAAACCTAAAATGTTGTATTTCTCTTCTTTCATGAGAAAAACAGGCAGAGGTTATTGATTCAGCTTGATCAAAGCTAGCAGCTCTGTGTCCAGCCTCCCCCAAAGAAGGAAAACAGTAACTTCCAGTGTCTGGACACTAAGGTCATGTTTTACCTCCAGGCTTCCAGAGTGCGCAGCACAGTGCAGCGGTGTGAATTCGTGGACTAAATCCACCTCATTAATACCAGCTCCACTTCTTATCATTGACGCAAGCTGTTCCACATCCCCAGCTTTCACTGCCTCATGCACACTACTGTAGTTTGTCTTCTTGGCATCTACTGAGGAATAATAAAAGGGCATTTGTCAGTTCAGCAACATTTAAGAGGTAGCAAATAAGTGATGACTCAAAGAAACATCAGGGTGTCAGCTTCAGTGTTCAGAGTAACATGAGATTGAGATTCATGTCAGCAGGAATACAAAGTCATTCCTTTTTGTCAGAAACAGAGCAATGTTCAAACCCCTGAGACAGACATGCCTCCTTCAGCCCCAAAAAGGGCCCAAAAGAGTAAGAACCAGAGAAAACATGACAAGAAGCACAGCAAGAGCAGGAAGCGGAGCTACTCCATCTATGGACACAAACGCTGGAGCAGGTCCACCCCAACACTTGCTCTCTTCCCAAACTGCGGGCATCACAGACTCTGCCATTAATCACATTTTCAAGTACAACACCAGGCAGGCTTCTCACTTGGGCAAATAAGCTTTCAGCTTTCATTTCCCATGTGTTCCGCATGGCCATGTTCCTGCTGCTGCCTGCCTAAGGACTTGGCACAGCATGGAATGCCACAAGGGAGGCTTCAGACCACATAAATGCTACATGGGTCAGGTTCAGGACAATCTGAGGTCAAAACTGAAGCTGCTGTATAAAAGCAGCTCTTTTATACAATGTGTTAGTCACCCTGTGCTGCTCCCTTGCTAAACTACAGCACAGCTCTGTCACTGCTTGTCAGCAGCTCCTACCAAAGTCAGTAACATTTTCACTGACCTCAGTGGCACAGATTCAAATTCTAAATGTAGAAGCAACAGGGTCAAAGGAACTTCAAACAATCCATCACCAAGCCATGAGATTAAACAACCTGTGCTCTCCTTCAGGCTTTTCCACTAATTAACTATGTGACTGGAAACAATGGGAGTTACATATCCAAGACCCCTTGCAATAACTTGATATCTTGCCAAAACTTGTAAAGAGGAATATGGGATGTAAGTAGATCTGACGGCTGAGGAGGCTAACTTCAGATAGCCAAGCATGAGAGAGAAGAACCTAAAAGTTAGTGTTCACCTTCTACAGTAGCCATCATTACAGGATGAAAATGCACTGATTGGATTTCTCGCTGTTAGAAGAAGTCTTGAAGAGGTGGGCTGCTGTTCTCAAGCAAGCATGAAAATGTATGTCTTAAGAAGTATCTGTGCTTCAGTTTCTCTGCCTGTGGAGAAGAAGTGGTGGCAGTAAAAATTTTTATGCAATTTGACATAAAAATATTAAAGAATATAAATGAGATACTGCATGGACATGGAGTCATAGAATGGTGTGGGTTGGAAAAGACCTTAAAGCTCATCCAGTTCCAGTCCCCTGCCACCGGCAGGGACACCTTCCACTAGAGCAGGCTGCTCCAAGCCACATCCAACCTGGCCTGTTCGTGATATATGTAGAACAGAATAGAATTTTAATACAATTAAACCCAGCATTTGCCATTTACCAGTGCCTATTTTCATTTAATCAGTAGTGTGACAGCAGTGCTCAGTGACAGCAGTGCTCAGTGACAGCAGTGCTCAGGCAGATTTGGGGTTGCCACAGAGAGGAAGCGGCGGCTGAAGCTGTTTCATCACCCCAGGCTGACAGTAACACATTGCTCGACCTGGTGGCTGGGTATCGGGGCACTTCCACCTCCGCCTGCTCGGCAGGCTCTGCTTCCGTTAGGAGCCAGGACTCCATCCTGCAAAACACTGTCTGGACAAACAGCACCAGCATAGAAACACCGGATAATTCAGGTTGGAAGCGACCTCGGGAGGTCACCTAGTTCACGTTTATGAATAACATGAAAGTATATTTTGTAGTTTGAGTTGTTTTTAAAAGAGACAACGCCACCATAGGTTCCCCACAAGGGAGCAATTTCTCTTCATGTCAAGGGAGGGCTACAGGCTTCAGTGCAGACACAGACTCACATCAGGGGAGGATATGGCCAGTTCCACCGCTTGCCAAAGTCCTGATGTTTAACACAGTGTTCCAGCACAAGTTCAAGGTTATCCTCTGTGTTTCCAAACCCACAACAAAAGCCAAGGAGGAGCCCTGCCAGCAGAGTGAAGCTTGTCTCCCTTCTCCCTCTGGAGACCTACAGCGTGTGGAGATGGATGCCAAGCGCTTCTGCGTGGCTCTTGGCACAGCCCAAGGGGAGCTCCCCTGGGACTGAGGTTCAGCAAACAGCTGCTAACATTAATTCTGTGAGAAACATGGTCATTTTGAAAGCGAAATTACCGGTTCCGTAATTTTAGTGCAACTTCCCGTCAAAACTGTTACCAGATACTCAAAAGAGAAAACTGTAGAATTAAGGAAGCATTCTGAGATGCCCAGCTACCCAAAACTCAACGAAAGAAATTAAGTGAAGGAGAATATGGCGCAGAACAGGGGAAGGAGGCAACTTCATGTTTTCCAGTGTTTCTGAGCACACAAACCCACCCTGTGCAGCCCCAGGGGACAGGGCGGGCTGGCTGCAGGCAAAGACCGCTGCCACGCTGCCGCCACACCACCGTTACACTGCCCTTCCTCGCCTGCCCGGCGAATATGGAGCAATGCCGGTGTTCGGGGGGGGGGGGGTCCCGGCGGAGCCCCGGGTCAATGGGGTGGGTTTCGGCCGAGGGAGCGCAGGGCAGCGCCCCGTGGGGCGGTCCCCTCATGGCTGCCCGCAGCCCTCATGGAAGGGGAGCGGGGAAGAGTCTCACCGGGCGCGGGACATGGCGGCCCCTCACAGCAGAAGCGGCCGCACGCTCCGTACCCTCCTCCTCGCAGCTCCCGGCGCCGCTGAGGGGTTGCTATGGGCACGGCTATGGGCATGGCTATGGGCACGGCTATGGGCACGGCTATGGGCACAGGGGGCGCTCCCCGCGGGAGGAAAATGGCGGGCGGCGCGGCCATGGTGCCTGAGGGGAGACGAGAGCCCGCTCGCATTCAGGGAGGGAGGGAGGCAGCGGGGGTCCGTCTGCGTGAGCGGCCATGGGGGTGACTGCGGGCGGCGGCAGCGCATGAGGGGAAGGACTTGCACTGCCGGGTGGTGCCGACATCTTTTTGGCAGCCCCAGTGTTGTCATGACACTCCCCAGGGAGAAGTGCAAGGTACGGATCTGTTCTTACCTCCGAACCACCGAGAGGTATTTAACCTCTCCATGCAGGATAATCATGCTCTGTCACGACCTGTACGTGTTTAACCTTCTCTCTCTGCACTGACACATTAACAGGGTACAAGGGGGTGGTTTTTTTCCCTGTGTTTCCAGAGGCCTGCTTCCAGGCAGGATGAACCCTTCCCAATTGGATTTACAGTACATGTTGTTAATTACATGGACCAAGTAAAATCCATTTAGAGCTTAATTACCCTTATTGTGAAGTTGCCATAAATCCTCTTGCTCCAACTTAGATGTCCCTCTTCTATCCCTAGCAGACTGAGTAATTTGTTCCCTTTTTCTAACAGCCTTCAAACATTGGAAGACATCACATCTCTGCTCAGTCTCTTCTGAGTCTGGGGGACTTACAAGTTCAGTCTTCCAGGACATGAAGTGTTGGAGCAAGTAACAAGAGGAGTAACTCACCATAGCACAGCCCACAGCCCACCAGGACTGACTTACCTGATCCATCTCATGGAAGTATTCTTGCTCCTCTAGCTTTTCTCCAAAGCTATTTTTAAGGTTGGCATCTAACAGGGCACTCACAAATATAGCTACAGCCTTAATATGAGTCAAGGAATTACTCACATCTTAAAGTGCTCGAAGATGGGAAGAAGTTGTGAAGATGGGAAGAAGTCGCAGCCAACAGCAAAACCTCCTTCGCAGCCAAGAACCACGAGTGAGTTCTGATCTCCCAACCACCCTCGCTTGCAAGAGTAATACCCTCAAACTGTGGTACTGCTGTGACTTACTACTTGTGTGTCTTGCTCCCAGCACTCCACAAATACACCCGTGGTAGAGGGAATACAACACTAAATGCACACAGCTGTATGATTATTTCCACTCCCACACAAACCCAGTTTTGAAAGGAAGAGACTTACACTCAAATATATGCTTAATTATATTTATTACATTTAAGAAATATTAACATCTCAGGATATCTGGTTTACCATCTAAGTCCAGTCATAAGCAACAAAAAGAAAAGTGTTAACCATGTTTCAAATGAGCATTCTTACATTCATTCCCCCCCCACCCCCCACCCCGTAACGTAAAGAAAAGTGTTCAGCAGTATTAAATTCTTAGGTGGTTGACTAATGGAAGAAAAAAGAATCATTAAAAGTGTCTTTATTACCAGGCATCCTGGTTTAAGTGGTTGTTGGCACTTGTGTTCACGATCAAGCACTCTGGTTGCTTTGTTATATTCTCCCCTTCTACCCAAAACTGTGTTTTTGGTTATTTTTTTTAGGTTTTTTTTAATTTTTTTTTTTAATTTCTATCTGAATATGTAAGTTTGTTCAAATAAGTTTAGAAAGAAAAGAAACCTCGGGTTGCCTGTGAGACGTTCCTGCACTGTGTCCCCACCTCTGTGAGAAATTCCTATCGCCTGTGGCATAACTGAAGGAAGATGATTTGCTTTCTGAATCTTACTGAGCCAAAAGTTCTTGTGTAAGTTCAACTGAAAAAAGTACAGAAACACTGTCTCCGTTTGATGGTGTGCATAAACGTTACACTCCCATATATAGCAAAAATAGCTTTTATTTATAATTTACATTTCCACAAGTGAAAATTGTACATTTTTTACATAGACCATTTCATTCCATTTAATTTTTCACGCATCTATAGAACTTTCACACAATGACACCTGAAACTGTGCAGGCAAGTTAAATTCAAATACAAAAATGTATTTATTACCAAGCAGTAGTTTGAGGCCCTGCCTCAGCTGAACATTTTTATTTCATATAAAAAGTATTTGCCTTCCAGAGAGAACACAGCAGCTCTTCTGTAAAAAAAAAGAATGTTCATAACTCAAGTTAGTTTAAACAGACTCCTCAGGTTCTGTCTTTATGTCTGTAGATGCAGGTGTGCTGCTCTCTTCTGCACAGGCAGGAGGGGTGTCATCAGGTTCTTCTTTCACTTTAGGTGACTCACAGGACTCTTCTGTTTCTTGCTTAACAATGTCCAACATTATATTTAATGGGTTTTCTACAGGAGTCTTGCTGGGAGATGGTGTGCAATCAAAGGATGATGTCTGCAAAGCCAAAGTCAAAGCAGCATTAACACACATTACAGGAAGAATTTTTAGCTCCTTATCCCTTTCACTCTTTCAAAACGCAAACATGTTGATGGTCAGGCACTCAAAACACAAACTTCTATTTCATCAAGATCCTAAGAAAACAAATTTACCTTTTGAATGGCATTACTTTTCACAATTCCTTTGAAACAGTGTCATCCAAGCAGTGATGAAATGCTTAACACACTACCACAAACTACTTGCCTCCCCAAGGGACCTCTACCTCCCAAAACACAACACACCATAACACCCATCTATTCCATTTTTGCAAATTCCTCAGACTACGTGTGTTACTCAACAAATCCAGGATGTGGTTTCAAACCATCGTTTCACTTCAGTTGTGTACAACACAAGCTGTCATGGCACACTGCAACACGAAATGCATCCTGGCTAATTCCGTATTACAAACTTGCCGTGTGAGCCTTGGACAAGAGAAATGGGTAGCTCTGAATGCATCTGCTCCCTGCAAAGGCAGAGCTCCAGCAAACACAGTGAAAGCCAAATGCTCCAGAAACCATGAAGAAGGGTTCACTTACGTTTTGGTAATCTTCGTAGCAAGATGGATGGTAAATCTGAAAGAAAATGGTTATCTATTTAATTACATTAAATGACAGCAGGATGGTTGGTTACACACAGAACAATGACAGTTACACATCATCACACAACGGTATGAGCAGACAAAGTATGGCATCAAATATGACTGGGAAATGATTCTGTATTTATTTAGGGCAAATTATAATACAGGAGCCTGGTTAAGTGCTGGGAATTATCTTATACAGCTGCATACAGAAATAAATGAACCAGTTATCTAACACCTATATAGAAAGACATTCATTTTCCCTTTCAGCACAGCAGTGTAAGGGAAGGCCAATGAGGGTACACTAATGCCACCAGGACTTCATGCACTTCCAAGGGCTGAGATATTTATGTACTTGGAAGCCTGGAAAACTACCATGCGAACTGCCAGGAGAAACACAGCCCTTAGAATCACAAGACCAGAGAATGGTTTGGGTTGGAAAGGACCTTAAGATCATCTAGTTCCAAGGCCTTGCCATGGGCAAGGACGCCTCACACTAGACCATGTCACCCAAGGCTCCGGCCTTGAACACTAACAGGGATGGAACATTAAGTACTAAAACCCATGGCTTTCTCTTTCTTTGCTGTAATTCTGTGGGTTTTTACTATAAATATCACATGTAAGTACAATCAGATTACCTTCTCATCTACTCTAATAGCATTCTTCAGGTGCCACTCTTCCTCTTCCTCATCCCAGTACTGTTCAAACTGCTCTTGGCAAATTTCACAGCTCTGAAAAGTTATTACACAGTAACAGAAATAAATGAGATTATTCCAACACCTTACTGAACACATGAACTTCAGAAACCTAGTGACAGGCAAATAAGGGTCTTTTAAATACATCCAGACTACAACATGATCTGTCTTCCACACTTTAGAAAACATGAATTAGAAGTTATTTGAGTATAGTTTGCACATCAGCATCTGGACCTGACAACTGCTATCTCACTTGAGAAAGGGGAGTTTTGCCCTTTGAAGCCAGCAAGTCTAAGCACAACATTTCATAACAATATAATGCTGGTTTACTGACATATAAAGACAACCTAGCACAAGGATTTAATACTATTTATGGCATTATCTTCACTCTTCTCCTTAACCTGGAACCTCAGGCTAAAAAAAAAGCAGACTATTTAGATGAAGTATTAACATCTGTCATACTTCTGGGCAAAATAATCAAACTGGAGAACAAAGCACAAAAGGTGCTTTTTAAAATTAGAACAAAGGTCTTCATTGCCTGATAGCTAGTTGTATCAACATTTGTACTTGATTACTACACCAATTCACCTACCAAAATACAGCTCTACATGTGACGTTGAGATGTTTCTTTGTCCTAATGCTTATTTTCCACCAAAACAGAAATTCTGTGTAAAAGTATCAAAACCCAGTAAGCCCAATTTGAATGGCAGAGGACCATTTCCAATTCACTTGCTCTAGTTTCCCTACAGAAACATTCAGCAAATTAACACAGTCTGCCCATTTCAAATGGAATGCTGAGGGGCATAGATTTTATTGAACTACAGGTGATTTACACTGCTATCTGCGCCTGGGAAACAACCATTACACAAATACACCACCTGTGGGGTGGCTGCACAGAGATCCAAGAACAAGACTTCAGTCTACATACACTGTATGAAAGAATGTTGTTATCTGAGCTAATAAAATGCAAGCTGAAACTTACCTCAACTGCTCCAGCAGGTCCTGCAGGAACACTCTGAAATTCCTTCTCTTTCGCAGCTTCTTGTGTCTTCAGCACAACCTCTTCATGAGCTTTTTCAAAGAACTGGCTCTTTGCACGCTCCTCGAGGTCAGCTATTTCCTCAAATTCAATCCAGTCCTAAGGAAGAAGGTTTCATTCGCAGTCAGACTCTGACAAATAGCCAGAAATGGCTAAACAATAAGGGAATAAAAAAAGAGCAACAACCAAAAGACATCCCCAAGTACTATAATTCAATGAATTCTCATGAGAGCTGCAGTGCTCCCCACATGCAGCACGAGCACAGTGGGTGCTTTCTCACAATGCCACACTTCAACACTTCAATGCTACATTCTCAGTGCAATGAAAACAGCACCACTGGTCTCACACTGGTTACTGTTCATCACACAATTCCCTGTTGTATTTCAACAGGCGTTTGAGAACTACTTGAAATATCTGAGATGTTGTTTACCACAGGCCAACTTGCGTGATGATGCAGATTTCAACTGCAATACTACAGCCCATACATAAGTAAAACACAGAATCCAGCTTCTAATTTATTAAGCCACACATTGCACTACTTACTGTTAAACTGTAGTACCATCTTCTGTGTGTGATTTTTCTGCTAACATCTTTTTCTGTCCGGTTCTGACGATAATGCCAATCCAAATGATCCGCATAAACATCTGTCTGTGAAGTGGTGAATCTCATTCCACACGAGTAACACTGAATTCCAGTGTACAGACGATTTATAACGCTATCGTAGCGCCTACAGAAAGAGGTGGAAAAGAATTCTTAACATTTCTTTGAAAAGAAGAAGGTAAGAAGTTGCTCAGTAAGTTGCTCAGATGTCCACAAGAGGAAAAACATGAATCTACTGCACAGCCAAAGCATACATGTAGGTAAATTCTCCCTCTTTTTCCTCTCTCAAATTCTCTCAGGCCAACATTAAAACCTGCAGGTCCTCTCAGTCACAAAGTGACACAGAATCTTTCAAAAGCTCCCAGCTGTCTTGGATTAGCTATCTTAGATACGCCTATGTCATTCATTGTTATTGCACTGTAAAGTCAATTCTACTATACTCACTGTCTTAGTTCTTCAACAGTGAAGTTTGTGAGGTCTGGGACATTTTGATCTTCATTCTGGTCATCATCCTCCTCTTCAGCAGCAGGCTGGGATGATCCTTCATTCACTTCTAGAAAGCATAAAGACAGTTTACCAAAATTTCAGTACATCATCAGAAAGAAGTGACGTGCTCCTGACAGCTATTTTTACTCAACTATTAAAAAATACAATGTGACTATGCTAAAATACACATGTGCAACAGCCAAGTCAATCATCTTCTAACATAATTAACATAAATAAAGCATACGAGAAACTATAAGCTACTCAGAATTTCAATTCAGAAAAATAGATACTAAGAATTTACACTTATCACACACTCCAAATTCCTTCCCAAAACCAAAGTTCAGTTTAAAAAAACATGCAGGAGCTCACAACAGCTCTAGTATTTCACTTTACACTTCAGTTGTGGATAAGCTGATTAGTTAGAACATAATGGATCTACATACGTGCTGAAGTAGAGTCAGTTTTTGACAGTTTGAGGATCCCTGTTTTCAGCAGTTTAGCAAACAGCTCATTGACATCAACCTGCCCAAGGTGGTTATCAGGGTATGAATGTGGAACAGCTCCTGGGGAAAAACATCAACGTTCAAGAAGAAGTTGCATCAGAAATTCACTTTCGGCTGCATGTTTCAAAACACACTTTTCCTTCAGCCCCTTGTTTCTTCCTTTTTAATTTCAAATTATTTATCAACTCTCTTTGCTTTATGCCTAATACTTGGCTAATTTCTTCCTCCACAGCAGAAGTGCTACCTAAGCTGGCTGCCCATACACAGATTCCTACTGGACAGTGGTTACCGAAATGCAGCATTTTCTTTATTTAATGCTTAAATATTTCACCAACACCAATCTACTTCATCCCCTACTTGAACTATTTCTGACTTTTTAAAAGCTTTTCATTACTAACCACTCATACATCCATAAAGACTGGGGCTTTCCAGAAAAGCAGACTAAAATGTATTCATTTTCTCTTTTTCTTTAAGCACAGCTACATACCAAACCCACACACTGAATGAGAACTAGTGAAAGCCTTCGCTGTTTGAGGGAAACCCCTGAAAAGATGAAGGTGCTACAGAACCCACATCCACAGACACCTCACTGAGGAGGCTTCCCTCCATCCACACAGACCTTGTACAGTGGGACATTACCAAAGGGTCACTTTTGTGGCCATCAACACAATAATCCAAGAGAAAGAAAAGGACGATCAGTGGTTTTGTTACCCACCTGCA